ACCTGGACTCATCAGCTTTCCTAGTTACTTCTACAGTTTCAGGGATGTACTTAGGTTCTAGTTCCCTGGTTTCCCTCTGATGCGCCTTATATGCTAGCTCTAGAGATACCAATGCAATGGCCACTCCTATGTAGGTAATCATACTGTCATTACTAGATGACTCCCCGGGTTCAGTCAGTTTCTTTTTCCTCTCCTTTGCTATTCTGCTAATTGCAGCTAATCGTTTCCCTGCAGCTACTCTTCTTGGGTCCTTCTTCTTTTCGCTTGTTACTGGTACTTGAATTTGCTCAGGTTTATCTTCCATTCTACTTGTAAGATACCTTAGGTTTAACTGGGTTTCGTCTTACGAGATATCTTAAATTCTACTTGTGAGATAACTTAAATTTGCTTGTAAGATGTCTCAATTCTACTTGTAAGATAACTTAAATCTACAGGTGAGATAACTGGTGAGATAACTTAAATTTACCTGTAAGATGTCTCAAATTTACTTGACAGTAAACTAATACTTGTGTGATTTGAACTTTGGTTTGCACAGCTTTACATTGCAAACTGTATTTTTCACTGCAACTTTCCTTACCCTTTTCTTGAGTGAGAAGTACTCATTAATTCTAATACAAGTTTTCACTAGGTCGTCCGATATTATTGTTGCGTATCCTATTTCCCTCAGTTTTTCAAACCATATCTCTTGCTTCTCACTTGTAATCCCGGTGCCCTTAGGAGACTTAAATTCAATAGCTAATCCTTTGTACTTTCCCATAGGATTCTCTATAATAAGATCCGGCTGGCCGCCTTTATATCCCTTCTTCCAGGCATCACATCTCTTTTGCACAGTATCCTGGTACTCACCTAGGCCAGGTACTATTACAGCTCTGGGGTGGTTATCTCTGATGTAACTCACAACTGTATGATGAAGGTCCGTTTCATTTATAAGAATCATTTGGTTATATCTAAGTGACCTTCTATCTGGTAATTCATATGAGCCCGTTTTACGGATAGATGGAAGGACTTCCCTGAATACCCAGTCCTGGAAGTCCTCTGCTATTGGAAGCCTTGAGCTACATATTAGTTGATACAAACCAGGTTCGTACAGTAAAATTGTCTGCGGGTGACATTTCTCAAAGAGGGGCAAATCGCCCCTCTTGCGTAACTCATACACGCTTACCTTATTTTGTTTCCTAACTAATTTCTGAACTGCCTTCTTTGGATCAGCGTACCCTAGAGATTCTGCTACATCCTTTGCGTAAAATAATACCTCCTCACCATCCCTAACAGTTCTCACGCTAGCATTCAACTTCTGGTTTCTGAATAGTTTTTCCATCTTTCCCTATACTATATATGTAAAAATTTTTTAGGCTATTTTATTTTGATTTATGAAGCAGTATTCCCTCGTCCCACCCAACTGCTTACCACTATTATGTACTTCCTTTTGCAAATAAAATATTACATTTCATGTAGCTTCTTGTATACCTTTACAACTGTTTTAATCGTATCGGCTTTAAATGTTTCAAAGTCATGTTTTAGTGGACCTATGATTTTATCCTTGAGCGAGTATAGATCTCCCTCTATTCAGTCCAGCGTTTTCTGGATCTTATCTAGCTTATCCTTGTTCCTGTCAGTTTTTTCAATCAATTCGTTAATTATGTCTTCGAATTCTGTTCCCTCCCAAGCGTTTCCCCACTCATGGTGTGACATTCTGTATTTAATAAGAAATGTTTAGCTTCCTCAGATATTTCCTCAGGTTCCTCCTTCTTATTCCACTTATGGGCAACTACATGTTTAGCTGTTGTGCAGCCACCTGATATGAGACCTATAAATGGAATGTTCGGGGATATAGTTCTGGTTAGATACGCTACGTCGTCCTTTAGAAGCTTGTCACTAAGTAGTTCCTCTGACAGTTTCTCTGATGATTCCACCGCACCGAAACTTCCTAATATAGAAGCAAACTTTGAAATTATAAGTGTTGATAAGAAGTCACTTGCACATGACATCCTTTGACTTTCATACTCTTGGTATAGTCTATCTACAACATCCTTGTTAGACTTTCTTATAAAACTTGCGGACTTCTCTATTATACCATCCCTCGATAGCTCTATAAGTTTATCCCTTTTGCTTTCAGTTTGCGACTTATCTGCGGTGGGCTTAGTTTTTCTTGCTTTCATTTGCGGCACCTTTGCGGCCTCTTCTACTTCTCTTACAGCCTCAAATATTTCTTCATCAGATTCAGTTCCCATCTTCTATATTCTACGCGGTGTTTAGTTTAACAGTGTATGTGTAAGGGTGAATAAGTAGTACATCCAGTGCGGTGAACTTCTCATCTTTTAATATTTTCATAATCTCTGTAATTGTCTCCTGAGGGACACCACTTAGGTAATCATCTGTTATGACCTTCATATCCCTGCGACTAGGGTTGTAAAATGTAACTAGCCTGGAAATGTTCTCCCTGAATGGTTTTTCTACTGATGACAGTTGTTGGGTAATTACGATAACAGATATATTGTAATGTCTTGCGGAGAATGCTAGGCGCACCAATTCTGAGACTCTCTTCTTTACATCCTTACTTGCAGCACAATCATCCACTATAATAAGAGTCTGAGTACCGCGGAATATGGTGGACACTGCCTTGAGAACTAGGTCGATCATTTCTTGTGAGCATGGAATTTGTATAACTCCGTGGTCACTAATATGACTCCAATTAATGTAAGTCATATTCCACTCTATGGTTGGACATATAATAACAATATAGTCGAAAACTTTATTGTACTCTGTTTCTAACATATTAAGTAGGAACTGAGTTTTTCCACTTCCTGTCATTCCTACTATGAGCATGTTGAATGGTTGCATCTCTATGCTTTACCGTTAGTACAAAATACGCTGGGTACCTAGTATTGAATACTTGATAGATCTCTATTGGCAAAGTTTAGGAGAGCATCTGATACAACAAAAATGTTGCATTGAACATCAGCTGTTGTGGCTCTCTTCTTGATTTCCAGAAGTACTCCAGACTGTGTGTTAACAATCTTCTTACCTCCACCAGTGGTATCATCTTGTGTTGACCTAAGATCGATTACTAGAGCAAAACCATTGGTGAAGAACTTGCTGATGGACATAAATTCGTCTGCCATTGATTTTTCACACATAGGGCAGAAAAATCTTTTTGCCTCTTCGAAGAACCTATTTTTATGAAGTCCTTGGGAGAAGACTGCATTAGGCACACCTTCAATGGTCAGGTTCACTTTATCAATATTTGGGTAAATATATTCTTCAGAATCAGTTCTCACCCTGTTCGTGAACAGGAGGACAATTGCTGACATGCTCTTTCTGGGGATATTAATGTTTTCATTGACAATGGTAAGATCTTTGTTCCAATTACTTGTACGCATAAGTGTGACGTGTTTGTAGGACAGTGAGCGGCCCGTTGAATACATCCTTGATACTTCACCCGCAAGGGCGTCATTCTCAATGGTCTCATATTCTAACTCAAGATTATCAAGTTTATATTTACCTTTAGCTTCACCTCCTTGGGCAGTCATTATTTCATCTGATTGCGGAAGTGTGAGGATGTACATAGGATTGTTATTCATGGAGAACGGTGTGTAGAGTCCATGGTCTGCAATTATTTTATCAATTGGTTTTCTCAGCTTAGAACCGTACACACTATGAAGAAGTCCATCTGCTAATTTATTTACATCACCAACCTTTACACCTGAGTCATCACCTGATATCAGCGTCCTGAGATTCTCACTTGCGAGACCCTGTTCTGTCATCTTATTTCTGTCACCTAGTGTTAGCCATAGATCTTTATATATTTCGTACAAACTCTCTCCTGAACAATCATAAGCTGTTTCACCTGCTACTTTAATCTGAAGACGTTTAGCTATCAACTTAGACAGGCTGTTGTTAAAGTGGCTTTTTGTGTTGGAATTTTTGAAGTCAAATAATAGTGCAAGTGATCCTGGAACTAAACAAGAGTCAGGCTTTAGTTTAGGAATGTTAATGTACAGCTCTTCACCTGGGCTGATAGTTGTTGGATTAAAAGTTACAACACTTCTAGTTCTAGGTCCTTTTACGGATGTCATACGGCTCCTCCTGAAGCCAGGCTGGAGTTCTCTTTCTGTGGTATTCATACTTTATACAATATGTAATGTTTAGTTGTATTTGTATAGTAAAATTATTCCTGTGGCTACAGATATTACCCATAAGTTTGATAGTATGAATTTAATCAGTGGGAGCGGCCTGGGTGAAGGACCTGCACCTCTATGTGTAGAGTTTGCTGTCATTGAGGATATTTTTCTGGTCTGTATGATAATAGCTGTAAGGAGAGCAGCAACTGATACTATAATACTTGCAAGCACAATTCCGAAGTTATCTTCAACCCATGATTTGAATCTTTCATACCTCGTTAGATCTTCCCTGACATCCTTCAACATAATTTTTGTACTATCAGCGCTGAATATGGGCTGATCCCCTTCTGGGATACTATCCTCTGCGACCTGGAATAGAAGACCCTCAAAGTTGAAAGTATTTTCTAGCCATTCAGTGTCTACCCCTGGTATAGACTCCTCAGGCTTCTTAGCTATGTTGGGCTTCTTAGGTTCCTCGGGTTTAGGCTTCTTAGGTTCTTTACCTCTGTAAGGCTTCCTGGGTTCCTCAGGTTGAGACTTCTTTGGGATTTCCTTGGGTTCTTCCTTGGGTTTAGACTTTTCTTTTTCCCATTCTTCGAGCTTTTTTCTCCAGTACTCTGTTTTCTCCTTATCACCTTTTACAAATTCCTGGTGTCTTTTAATCTCAGCTTCTCTACGCTCAAGCTCAGCTTTTCCCTGACGTTCGGCAATCCTTTTGCGTTCTAACTCGGCAACTTCTGCAAGCCTCTTACGTTCTAACTCGGCAGCCTCCTCCTTCTTTCTAACTTCTTCTTTCCTACGTTCTTCTTCCTCTGCTTTTAACTCTTTCTCGGGCTCATTAGGATTGAAACCTAGGTTTTCCATAATAACCTTCAACCTATCTATTTTTCCTGAGTAGTCATTCCTTCTAACTTCAGCCTTGGCTATTCTCCTAAGTACAACTAATGTTTTTACCTCTTCCTTGAGAGTGTTGTGGGTCGCGTTTAGATAGGCCTCGGTTTCTGAATTCTTCAAGGTCTTCATTCTTCTTAGCTGACTAACGTATTCAATTTCTCTTCTAATATCTTCTTTCTCGTCTGATTGCTCGGTTCCCATTACCTTTCTTCGTAGAACTTCTATTTCGGAGTCCATATCTTCGGGTTTCATTTCCCTATAGCCAGGGTATAATCTGTTTAGCTCATCTAGGTCCTCAGTTCCTAGGTCTCCTCCCCAGATCTCAGAGTATTCACTATTGTATTCATCAAGAATGGTGCTTACCCTATCCATCCATGCTGCCCTGTATTCTACACTTTCAGCCATTATTATACTTTACTTACTATAATAGTTGTACACAATTAAGGCAGCAGTTACAGCTAATACCCATAAGTGTGACGCTAACCAGGCAATTCCTTTGGCTCCCCATGATAGCGCAGTCGCAATTGCGTTCAGGATTGGAACTAGGATTGGCCCTGCTTTCTTTGCTAAATTTGCTAATGCTTTTGCTACTTTACCAGTGACCTTTGCCGTCTTTACAATAGCTCCCCTAGCATGTACAAGAAGAGTTGTTATTAGACCTGCTGTTGATATTGCTATTCCAGTTAGACCCACCTTTTCCTCCCCTAACCATTTCACAAACTTGCGTAATCTAGAAATGTCCTTTAGTTGTGCCTCTCTTGCCTCCTCTACTGTTCTCTGCTCTAGTGTCCTATCTCTAGCTTCCTTCAAACTGTCAATTCTTTCTAGGAGGGAATTGTACTCAGTTGTACCTTCCGCAGAGGTGGCACGTTCCACGGTTTCACCAATAGCTTCATTAAAGTAGTCAGCCTGGACTTGTAACGCTCCATTGGGACCTGTTCTGCCTTCTATGCTTGATCCATCAGGTGGGTTAAGAACACCTCTCAGTTCATTGTTTTCTTGCATTGTTAGCCCTGGAAGGTCTCCTAATTTTGCACTTATATCTATTAACTCAATGTTCTCACGGTCAGCGTATTCCTCGTCACTGGTATCAAATTGCGGCTCTTCTCTGGTATCCTCATCACTTGTAATTCTAGCGTCAGGATCCGTAGGTACCTCTTTGATTTTCTTTAGAAGGTCCTTGTATTCTCTCAATGCAAGTGAGTCCTTTGAGTACACAGGTTTCTGGTCTTACCACGTTTCATTATTTGTGTGCCACTTTTGTCAATACCTTGTTCACTTCTAAATACCAACACCTCCATGCCATCCTTGAGTGTTCTTACAGATGATCGTTTTATGAGTTCCCTGACATATTTATTCTTTGGGTCTAGTACTAGTCCCTCCTTATTTTTGATAACTCTTGCGACAGCTTGAACACGCTCTACTTGATTTTCAAAATCTCTCTTTTTACTTGCTGTGAGCCTGTCTTTTGAGAACTTTTTCAGTTTCTCCAGGCGGGCTTCTATTTCATCCCAGTTAGTGTCAAATGATTCGTCGAATGCATCTAGAACATCTGGAAGTGAGTTGTTTGGGTCTTCTACGAAATCTACTCCTGGGGCGGTCGTGCTTCCTGATGGACCTGAAATGTTTACTGTACCATCATTTCCTTCGGTGAAAGTTGTTTCCTGCTCTTTAAGTCTTGCGATTTCCTCTAAGGATTCTGTAATTCTGTTAACTATTTCTCGTGACCTCATGAGACTCTTTACATAGTCCAGTTCACTTTTAAGATTGGTTATCACTATAGGATCATTACCATACATAGCCTCATCCTTCACCCTTGTATCTAACTCATTAAAGGCTGTCGTTAGGTCATCATAATTGAGGTCATCATATTGAGGATAACTTTTTTCCGTCTCCTCCAACTCAATATCATCGTGGTCATCGTAGTCCTCCATAATACTTTAACTTATGTTAGGGACTTGATGTCTCCAGCTGGTATCCAACTGTTAAATTTGTCATCATAACCTAACCACTTAATGAGAGCCATCTTTTTACCCTTCAATGTTCTTCTTCTTATTACTTTCTCTATTCTGAAATCAGGTTCTCTTCCTTCAGCGCTATACAGTTCTTGTTCATAGAATCTGCCAATTATTGGTTCATCAGCACTGTCTTTTATTGTATACGTGTTTGGATGGCCGTGATACACTTCCGTCACAGTGAATAACTCCTCCGTAAAATTTGCTTCGTACCCTTTTGTGAACACTGATTTGTACTTCGAGATTATAACACTTTCTCCGACAGCAAACTTTGGTTCTGACGGCTTGCCTAAATTGTGACTAAAAAGTGTCTGCCATACTTTAGTCCAGTTGGACTCATTTACACTGTCTGGTGTTGTTTTAATTGATCTGTTCACTGAACTGTTGTAATTATCAGTTAAGTCCTGAAGGACGTCTAACCATTTATATGTACTGGCACTGTAAAAGTATTTCCACATTAGAGCTTTCAGTGTTCTGTTAAATCTTTCCACAACTGCGGCCTTCTTGTCTGAGTAAGTAGAGAAAAATTCAATGTTATGTTTATTGAGCAATGACTTTACTTCTTTGTTGTAGAACTCTGTGCCTTGATCAAACTGGGCGAATTTTGGGTATTTACCAAAACGATTATTAAATTGCTCTAAAATGTTACTGACGGCGTCCTTCATTGATGTCGCGTTTTTCCTATACACTGGTACTGTGAATGCGTACCTACTCAGTATTTCAATTGATGTGAGAATCCATCGGTATCCCTTGTTCTTGTCGTCATACTTTGTCATGTCAACTAAATCCATTTGTAACTGTTCACCTAAAGTCTGGACGTACGTCTGTCTGAACTTATGTTTCCTAAACACTTGTCTGTACCTAGTGTATGTGTCTTGCTCGTTTATCCATTTCTTGACCTGGTTTCTGGTTACTTCAAGTCCTTCCGATATTGCTCTAAGATATAGTTTCTCTGGTGTTTGGAATCCAGTTTTAGGATTGTAGTAAATATCTCGTAGTCCCTGCTCTTTCATAATATCGTCGTCCATCTTATATTAACCAATGTAAGCTCGCTACTCAAGGTACATCTCAATAAGCACTTCACCTATATCAGTAGGTTTCCCATCTTGATCTGTCATGTAGAATACAAGTTCTGAGAATGAACCCTTAACAATCGAAGTCCTGCTTTCAACATCAATGTAACTAACTACCGAGCCCAATAATGGTCTGTCAGTTGGAATTGTAATAGTTGTTATTACATCGCTGGGTCTTCCCCATGGGTTAACGTTGTGAGTGCTACTTACTAGATTGCAGTGTATATTTACAACTCATAGACCATTATTAAAGTCAACTTTGCTGTCACCTGTCAAACTCCTTCCGTTTAGTAGGATCATAGGGTTAGAAAATCTATTAAAACCTAGCATGGTCAGTAATCGTGTTTCTATTGTGATGTCCTGTTTTACTGCCTCTATTTGGCATCCTGCTGTTTCAGCAAAGTAGGTTAGCTTAACACCGTGTCTTTCAAGTAGCTTCTTTATACTGTCAAATGTGTAGTAACCTTTATGAATGATCACATCAGATTCTCCATCATCTGTTTTCACTTTGAGAATAGTTGTTGGTTCCCTTATATTGAAGTACTCCCAGAAAACTGATACTCTCTTCATAAAGACTGAATTATAATTGCTTGTTAGAACTGAATTCTGTAGTGATACAATAGTGTGCGAGCTCTGGAGTAAAATTGTAAACTTCATCTTAATAACATACGTTAGGTTATTAAGAATGAGACTAGGTGGAGGACAAGTTGGTAAGTCTCCGTATAGATCGTACCAGGACTATGAAAATAAGTATGGAAAGGAAGACGATGAAGATCATGTCGATCCTGTTGCTGGTAAAAATGCAGAGAATGCTGAGAGGGCTAGGTTTATTAAAAAGTACCCTCACGCTGATATGAAAAGGTTTAGGTTCGAAGCAAAGGCTACTAGTAGTGGTGACATAGGAGTTATCACCTGGTTTGTTGATTTAGATGGTATAACTTCATATGACATTAGATATGACGGTTTTAAGAAGAATAAGGAGTTTACATCTTATCTCACAGGTACTAAGAAAATTATTACTCCAGTACAGTTTGTACCTATGACTGACATGAAGGTAGCATCTGGGGATAAGAGTTCCGGGCGGAGTAGGCCGCTTGAGGTATTACCTAAAGGTTCTGGGTGGCCTGCAATGTGGTCTAGTGGAGGTGCAGTTCAGAAGATAAGTTTTACTGAAGGTGATCCTGTTATTGGAAAGTACCCTCCTATTACAAAAACTGATCCTATCTCCAACTTTAAGGTTTATGTAAGTAATAATGAATTCTTCTATAGTAAACTTCCTAAGATTGATGATTATATTAGTCTCGATAATGTTACACCAACCTTCAAAAAGGATTTACCTTATTATGCGGCAATATGTGGTGCCTATGTATCGACATATTTATGCGGTATCTCTACTTACCATACAAGTCCCCAGGTAGATGTAAATCCTATTATCACATCTATTATGAACTTTCACGTGTACTTATGGGTTAGAAGGTTTATTAGGGATCCTAGTTTACTTCAGCAGTACTCTGATAGGTTAAAAGTAATATCCGGCAATATACCAGTTAAAGGTCAGTGGGATATTGATAGGTTCCTGAGTAGTAGAGCATCTATTGGAATTGTGTATAGGAGGTTTAGAAACGAACATAGAACTGTTAGAAATGTTAGGTATGCTAAAAATACGTCTGGAATGATTGTTGGGATTAGCTATGACGAGCTTACAAGTAAGTCTTCCCTCGCAAGTACAAACGACTACTTGAGGTATTACGCGAATAAAAGTGCTGGACTTGTTGATACCTCCCTTATACAGGAAAGTCTACAGTGTTATGTATACTGTGTCCTTGGAGCTCAAGCTAATACTAGGTGGGCTATAGTAAACCGTGGAACCTCCTCTTTATTATCCCAAAAAGGTTTCCGTAAACTTGTGGAGGATGTTGTAGTTCAGACTGATGTTGCAGTCGGAATCAGTAATATGAGAGTTGCGATTAGAGATACAAATGCAATAGTAAATACAGCAATAAACCCTGACATTATCCTGTTCCCATCAAATTTGGTAATACTAAAGGATCCTATTCCTGGGTACAATAATATTCTACTTAAACCTGACTCTAGTGTTAAATTTGGTGTTAATACTAAGGTAAACTATGTTGGTGTTAAAAAAGCTGATCCTCCAAAGAAGGTGCATCAGAATACAGCACCTGTTAGTCACCTTGATACTCTTAGTGAATATATAAAACCACGGGTTACCCCTGAGGCAAGCAATTCCCTTCGTAAAACTATGGTTACACCTGAGGCAAGCAGCTCCTTTCGTAGAACTACTGTTAACAGTAATGAGTCTTCAGGAGTTAGCGCTATTGCTGGAGCTGGGATTGGTGCTACAGTTGTATTTATTATAATGAAAATGTTCCTGTAAACATTGTGTATGTTATAAAAAATGGCTCTCTATAGAGGATACAACAAAGGAGTAAATAAAGTTGACCCATCAAGTGGTAGTGTGTTTGATAAGGATGAATTTACCATGAAGGGTGACATTGAGATGGATGGTAATGAGGTGAAAGGTCTGGGTGCACCTACAGATGATACTTCTGCGACCACAAGAAAGTGGGTGGATGATGAGATCATTAAACGGGCTGCTCTTATAATTCAACCAGCAGGGTTTACAATGACTGGGGATATTAACATGGGAGGTAATAAGATAACTAATCTTGATAATCCTACTAATCCAGGTGATGCCGCTAGTAAGAGTTGGGTTGAAGGTAGTCGTAGACATACACATGTTAGTCTACCTGGTCTTATCCTCACGAATGATCTCAATATGTCAACCAATGAGATAAAAGCTTTGGGTGATCCTACAACTGGAAAGTCTGCTGTTAGTAAGGACTGGGTAGTTGGAATGCTAAATAAACCTGTATCTGGTGATATTGATATGAAGGACCATGAGATTAAAAATCTTAAGGATCCCTCTGAGGATCAGTCTGCTGTCTCAAAAAAATGGGTAACTAACCATGTTAGTGGAAACCCTGAATCATATCTTAAACGGAGTGGTGGTACTATGTCAGGTGAAATTAGTATGGGAGGTAATGAGATAACCAATGTCGGAAACCCTGTAAATACAAGCTCTGCCGCGACAGCTGGCTGGGTTATCAGTGGATTGGGAATGCGTGGGGAAATTGATATGGGAGCAAACAAAATTACTAACCTACAGAATCCTACGGGTGGAGCTGATGCAGCAACACGTAGCTGGGTAATAAATCATACCACCTTCACTGCACTAAAACTGGACGGTTCAAATGTAATGACAGGTGATCTTCATATGGGAGGTAATGAAATTAAAAATATTGGGGCTCCTAGTGCCGATAAATCTGCTGTTAATAAAAAATGGGTGGAAGATAAGATTAGCGGTGGTAGAAGAAGGCGTGAGACTTACAGCGGACTTACCCTATCTGATGACCTCGACATGGGAAATAATGAAATATTAAAGTTAGGTGCTCCTACAACAGATAATTCTGCTGTGTCTAAAAAATGGGTAACTGATCATGTAAGTGGAAGTTTTATCAGTAGTAGTGGATTTACTATGACAGGTAATATTGACATGGGAGGTCATAGTATTACAGGTCTAAAAGATGGGTCATCCGGAGACACCTCAGCACTTTCCGCTAAGAGTATAAACTCCTGGGGTTTACAGTTTCTTAAGCGTGACGGTGGTACTTTAGCTAGTAATTTAGACGTTAACAACTATGAGTTAACAAGGGTTGGAAATCCTACTACTGACGGTTCTGCTGTTAATAAAAAATGGGCAACTGATGAGTTCATGAGTAGTAGAGGTGGACTGGTAAAAGGTGATCTGGATATGGGAGATTCTAGTGGTATTCTCGATCTAAAGGATCCTGTAAATGATAAGGATGCTGTTAACAAACAATGGGTAGAAAGGAATTTCCTAAAACCTTCAACTGGTCTTACTCAAGCAACGGCTGACTTAAGATATGTAAGAACACGGCGACATATACATGCAGAATGGATTTGGGGTTATCGTGGTGTTGCAGTTGCTGCGACAAGGTACTACGCTTTCTGTCAAGATCAGATTCCACCTTCATGGAGAACAGATCCTATTAATAATATGGCAGACCTCAACCTTGAGTCAATAAATATTAAATCAGACTCCCCACTTATTTCAATCGTTCTGAATATACCTATAGAACTCATACTATGGGCTACCGTTTGGGAAAAGCAATCTAATGGAAAATTTACACAGGTTAAGAAGGAAATTGTTCTTGATACAATTGACCTAAGAAGGTTGTCCTACACTTGGTTCAATGGAACTTTCACAACTACTGGTGGAAGTACAGCTTGCTACGTTTTCAAGGGTAATAGTATGTTCTATTTAGGAAACCAGGCTGAGTTGGTAGATAACACGCTGGCTTGGTGTGTTATAGTTAAACCTGAACACTCAATGCCCATTGGTATGAGTATGGATATGTCATTCTGCTGGTCACTTCGATATTCAGGTTCAGGTAGCTAACATGTGGTTTATCATAAGATAAGATGTCAAGGTGGAGGTCATGCTTCTCCTGCTTAGGTAAGATTTGTGGTTGTCGTAAGAGTTCAAAGAA